GTGATCTTGGGGAAAAGGCCCAACATCTCTGTGCCTCGGTTTTAATACCACTACATGTGGAAAGCACTTACAACATTGTCTGCACACAATAACTGCTCGATAAATGTTGACTGATTTGACCCTCATAACTCATACGCTTAACTCCCCCTTTCCCCCAGCACGCCAACAAACACATGGCTTAGGCACCCCTCAGAAGGCAAGCTCCTAGAGGCCATGCATCATGCCCCCTGTCCCTGTCTGTCCTCTTCTAGGACTCACACAAGACTGGAGGAATGCACGCTGGAGGGCCAGAGCTAATGGCCTTAATCAAAGTTCTTGCCAGATGGTATGGATGGTCTTAAAACTGTTTTCCTATGAGACCTCTAGGTAGTAGATCTGTTTATTGCGTTCACATTGTTTTCATCTTATGATTTATTAATAAAAGAATATTTATGTGTCCGTCTAATCCAGTTGCAGTTAAGGCTAAAAAATGTTTGGCCTATATTGCTACTTTATAGTTTGACCATAGTCAGAACATACAACCTGTAATGTTCATAGTCATGGTTTAAAACAGCACACTTTTGAGATAACTGAACAGCACATAACATCACAAAGGCGCCTTCACTCCTCCTTTCGAATGAGCTCGTTTATAGCTTATTAGTACCTATGGGCTCTGTCCTCTGTAGCACCATTATGAGTTTCTGTTCTTGTCTGGCTTAGGTTGGCTTTTATCCTGCAAACAGAGAAGGATTTGTGCTGATCCATCTACCTCTTCTCACCTGATCTTCCCCCACTGACACATACATTTTTATAATGGCAGGTACAGCCTATGACCAAGAACCTAGGCCACTGATCTACACAAGGAAGAAATCTACAGCCCTGGCTTTATTAAATCCCAAACACAATATACAAATGCAATGATCGTTAGCTGACAAGTAGCATCTGAGACTAATCAATTTTAGTGGTCACCTTTTCAAGTCTAACTTTGCATTTTAGTTCACAATAAACATACATGTGAAACAGGAGAGACGTCCACCAGGAAGCCAAGGAGCACATCACAAGGTGGCTCCTCCCTATGTGCCTCATCCAACCTGTCCTGCCACCGGTTCCTGTAGAGCCACATGCCCGCCAGTCCTACAGCCAAGGGGGTCCCAGCTGAGGGCTCGGACCCCTGACATTCAGGACCATGCGCAAAGTAGGGGTTCCATAAATATGTGTTGAGTGGATTAATGAAAATATCAGACTGTGGTTTTGTTTTTACAGGTATTAAACAATCCTCTAGAGTCTTATGACTTCCCGCTTGCTTATTACCACTCCAAATCTTTCCATATACTGAGACTGGTTTAAAAAGTAGCCCAATACCACTGAGCAGCAATAGTCATTCCACAGGAGACATGAGAATACTATCAGCAATGTAATCACATTACATTAACATCTTACATCTGAAAAGCAATGTGCTACTTATAAATTACTTTGCCTCCATTATCTTATTTAATCATTATAGGCATTACACAAACCATAACACATCTTACTGCTGTTGTTTCGATGGGGTGGGGGAGAAACAGGTGAAATCCAGGCTAACCAATACACATGAGTCAGGGCAAAAAGGGAACTTTAAACTGAAAAGAATCTAGAAGTGGATCTCGTCCAACCTCCCAGCAAAAACTGGTAGACATGTTTTTTCTCGTTCATTATAACTTGACTATTTTCTCCCACCATATTCGTAAAGCTCTGCACATTGTCTCACTAGCTCTACCTGTCAGAAGAGAGAGTAAGATGTTGGTACTGCCTGTTGGAATAGCAGCAAAATCTTTACCCATAGACCTGACAGGTGTGAACATGGCCTTTAAAGCCCATCATCATGAAAATGAGGGAAAGGTGTGTGGCCTTCTAAGTAGAGTCCCTTATCAACTGGAAAATCGAGATTTTATATTTGCTTTGCCACCCAGGCTAAACAAATTATATCTTGATAATCTGAAACTGAAGAGTAAAAGATACATTCTGCATTCCCCAGAACAAAACACCTAATCCAAACAGATTTTATCTTGTTTCAGTTAAGAAGCTAGTGAGAAAAGTAGAGTTGCCCCTTCTGTCTCAAATTGCTTCAACTCAACAAATAAATATAGGGTGATACACATAATTATTTAGCATTTGCAAATTACCATGATCTCCCTGAGCTGAAATCAATAAAAACCCTATCTTAAATATTAAGGCACTGTCCCTGTCCCTCACCTTATCCTGTCACCTCTCATTGAGAATATTTCTTTTCAGTTAAGAAATCAACAGCAAGTTCTAAAATCAGAGCTTCATCATCTGTTTTAATAGCCACAATCCTATTAAAAGCTGTTAAAAATAGCACCTCTACCACCTTTCTCTCATTCCTCTTCCTTTCCACTCTCCTCCAAATAAAGAAGGTTAAGCGATGACTTCCAGCCCAAAGAACAATGAACAATACATACACACACAAAGCTTCCTCTTCCAGCTTCCAACAACAACAAGAAAGTATAACACCAATGAAAAAGAAAAATGAAGGAAAGATGGCACACCATTATTCTTAGCAAGTGCACGGAGTTAGTCCACAAGCTCAGCAAAATCTGGAATCCAACTCAGAATGAAAGGAACATTTTTTTTTTTCTGGACAGCAAGTAAAAATAACTTAGGAATTGATTTGTTTTAAAAATAAGATCCCAAATACAGTCAACAAAATTGATATTCATTTTTCAGAAACTGGTTTTTAATAAACACCATAAAAAGATTATGCATAAGAAAACAAGTCCATCTGGCAGGCACGAAGGAAGGAATGATATGTGGCATATCATTTTCTCTAAGAGTTGATAAGCAAAAAGTAAACACAAAAGACCACCTCAAGAGGATTTGTGTGTGTGTGTGTGTGTGTTTCAGTCCAGTTTCAGTAAAAAACTAGACCTAATGTTCAAGGATTTTCTCAAATCTTTTCACAGGAGATACTTGGCACACATAAAAACTGACTTATTTCCTTTGAGATTTTTTTTCTCACATTAAATACTTAGCCAATGATTTTTATGGGACTGTTTCACTGTATGTGAATTATTTAAGAAGCATAGTTAACATGACAAAATAATAATTTTTTTATACCAATGCAATAGGGTGGGGGGGGGGAGGTAAAACAAAAAGGTCATGTCAAATTTGAGGCCCACTGATTTTGCCCCAAAACTTAGTAAATTAACAAAGAAATTAATCTGCTTTTAAGGTAACCTAAAGCCCCACAAAACATTCATCCACCTACCCTTAGACTCTCCATCTAGAAATTAATCTGAGTCATTAATCAGAGTTTTTAATTTTTTTTCTCACTAAATGCTTGAGTGGGTTTGGCACCTCAAAGACAGCTTTATGATGCAATTTGCAAATTTAAAGCTCACTCAGTAAATAAAGAAAATACTGTAATAAAATTATTAGAACTACCTGACTCCTTTTTAGGAACAACTTAAGTATCCAAAATTAGCTTTCAATAGTGTAGGTAATGTTGCCCTTTCGTACTTGGTGATTATCCTCAACAAACTTTGGCTTTTATTTAGGCTACTACAAGAAAATCCATTGCACTGTATTTTATAAGACAAGCTACAAAATAATTAGTTATTTAATTTAGAAAATAATATTTGAAAAACATTTGGCAACTCTCTTAACCTACATGGCACTTTGCATTTTAAGACACACAATCAGGTACCCTTAACTGGCTCCAGTTGTGGGTGGATAACGTCCCTTTATCACAAAGATAGAGGAAGTTACTGACATCAGCAAATGAACAACAAAACAATTTGAACTCAAGAATTTTTTAATCTGCTCCATTCACAAGGTCATGTATTAACTGCAATCAGCACCCTTCCCCACAAGCTCATCAAACCTTGAAGCTTTAGGAGAAACATTCCCTTCACCTAAAAAGCCCAAATAGAAGATAACATGACACATTAGTCCTTGTCCAGCGTTTCTTGATCATGAAAGCATTCAATCTTTAATACAGCATTAAGTGTAATTCCTAGAAGGCACTGGCACATCTCTGCCAGGCCAACTACAGTCGAAAACCGACTGAATGTGGCCAACAAGATGACAGACGGGTAATGTTTTTAACCATCATCAATCTGTATGGCAACAGCGGTTCCCGCTAACAAGGTAAACCTGGTAATTGCATAGGCTCGAAAAGAGCCAATGTCAATCAGGATCCCCTGAACACAAACATGCAGCTCTGGGGGAAATATACTTTCTGGAACAATACAAGGTCTTGCATAATTCCACAAACACACACACACACACACACACACACACACACACACGTCTGTTTTTAAAATAATGTTCAGTCCCAGCATTGTGCTGACACTTTTTCCATCTAAACTTCTCAGCACAAGCCTGGCCTAAACATACAACTGGGATCCAATTCGTGCACATGGTAAACGAGGCATGCACCCGCGACCGTAACGGTGGGGCAATACCTTCCCCTACCCTGTCCTGTTCTGGCCAGGCTGCGATGCAGTTTAGTCCTGTCTAGTTTATGGTAATGTGCTTTTAAAACCTCGCCGCGACCGAGGTCATAGCTTTAGAGATCTAATAACAACCAAATGACCGGAGCTGCCGGGCACTTAGTGAGCCATTCTGGTTATGGCTCTTTAATAGTACCTGGAGTTCTGCTAAAGGGAAAACTCCTGCTTCCCCGGGAAGAAAGTCCTTTTCGGGGAGCGCAGGGGGAAGCAAAGAAGTCGATCGCGGACAGGGGACGACCCGCCGCCGCGGCCCCATCTCTCCCGCAGCCCCTGCGAGCCCCTCACCCCGCAGGGCGGCTGGCCCGGGTTGCACCTTTACCTGTCAGCTCTACCACCCCTTCCGCCAGCCCCTCCGAATCCCCGCACAGCTCTACAGCCGGCTGCGGGAGAAAGAACCCCCAAGGCATCCTATCCCAAAGAAAGAAAGCAAAAAGGCTGTTCCTCCAGGCGGGGGGACATTAGGCACGTCGGGGTCCGAGAGGCGACACGCCACCCCCTCCCCACACCTACCAGATAATCCATGTACAGAAACGCCTCAGTTATCTGGAGATCAGTCATCCGGCAGCCTAAAGCATCCGGAACGGCTCCGAACCCGGAAAAAAAAGCAGCGTCTCTGGTTGCGAGCGAGCAGCCCCTGAAAAAGCCAGAAACAACGAATATAGCCGAGAGCAGCCGAGGAGCCGAAGATTACACAAGGGGAGCGGCGATTGGCCGGGAGGGCGGGCAGAAGAAAAGGAGAGCGCTCATTGGCTGCGGCGCCTATAAAAGGCAGGCCACTGCGGGTGGCCTGAGAGAAGCGCGGGAGCATCGAGGGCCCTGGTTCCTGTGAAGAGGGCGGAGGGGCGGGAGCTGGGGCGGCGCAGGCGGAAGAGCGAGCCGGGAAAAGCGGAAAATCGGCCGGTCCTGCTGCTGCCTGAGTTCTGTGTGCTTCCATAGTCTCCTCATTGGGTAGAGCGGAGCAGAGCTGTGCTCCAGTGCTGGAGAGCGTTAATGTCCCCTCCCTCTTCCCACCCCAGGTAGGAAGTTAGCGCCGAAACGCGGGAGGAGTGGTAGCCACCGACACTTAGTGTCCCTCTTCGGAGCGATTTCCTTAAGGCTCTGCAGCCTCGAGACGGCCCCGCGGGGACGCTCGAAGTGTGTAGGAGGGTATGCTGAACTGGCAAGCCTGTGACTCGGGGACAGCCCCTCCCCGCCTTTAGATGTGAACCAGCGAAGGCGGACAGCTCCAGCCTGATGTCCCTGGGGAGACACAGAAGCCCCGGACGCGGCCAGAGGTACCCCAGGAGGCTACCTCTAATCAGATTGCCTCTGAAGAACTCGCTCTCTACCACGTGAAAGGAAAAGAAAAAAAGTTGAGGGACTCGGTCGAGTTGGTTGTAGACCTCGAGCACTCGGGAAGAAGCAGATAAGTCAGTTCTTTGCATGCTTGGAGTCCAATTACACTGAGCACAAATCATCGGCTCTGCAGAAAATGAGCAATAGAATAAGAAACTCGCTGGAAAGACCCAAGTAATAGAGTATTTGTGACCTGCTGTCATTGTAAGAGGTAAAAGTATCTATGAGCAGGTGCCCTTGAGACCTGGTTAAGAGAAAACAAAACTTGGAAATTGGCATGGAGATTTCACTATTGCATTAATAAGCTTGGGGAGAGGGGCAGCTGGATAAGACTCAAGTTTCGCTTATTTTATTTATTTATTTATTTATTTATTATCTATTTAGGATTGAGGCTATGAACAAACAATTCAACAGGAACAGCAATGCCAGACATATCAGGCTCAGGTGACTGAGGTCTCCCCACCACCACCACACCACCACAGGTTAAGGAGGATGAGGGATTGCTCTCACGTATTAATAATTAGGGCTTCCATACAATGTTTCAAGTGTGAAACTTGAACTTAAACATTTCTGAAGCAACTGCCTAGTGGTATAAAAGCTGTTTCAGGAGTTGGATTTTTATTTTCCCCCAACTTGGCACCTTCCTCTTTTGTATCCTTGGGAATGAATTTTCATACAATAAGCTTATCTGGGGCCACCAAAACCGTTCTATTAGATAATAATGGAATTCACTCTAAATATGTACAAAACAGGGACACTTAGTGTCCCTCTAAGGGAGGGTGGCCCTTCAGAGAGAGCTCCAGGTGATGAGAATCTTGCAGCTGAGAAATGAGAATTCCTGTGGCCAGAGGGTTTTTTGAAGGAACTTAGTACAGAGCTTGACTTCACTGATCCAATTTACAGACAAGGGGTGTGTGTAAATACTTCTAACGAAATTTCAATGAGTTTTTGCCTATGCAGGAGCTAACTAGACTCAACTGTATTAAGTCATTAGATCCCATTTTGATTGTTCTCAGCATTTCAGGTCAAACACGTGTAGATTTAGAAGAGATTTTGACCTGGATTCTGGAAGTGAAGGACTTCCATAACCTATAGCACAATTGCTTGACACTAATTGCAGAAGTTAAAATCCTCTCAACCTTGCTAGGAAAAATAATTCAAATAGACAGGGAAACTTTTGTTTGTGTTTGTTTGTTCGCCTTCCTTCCATGAATAAGCATACTGCAAATAAGATAAAAAGCTTGAGTTAGCAAAGAGACACTTTTTGGCCCATTTTCTTAGTAATAAGTGATGTCTTGACTACTGCCAAGTCAGACTCCTAAGAGTTTCTATGCAGGGAAGATAACCACTCAGAAGCAGTTGGCTCTCCCCTTCCTTTAAAAGCTAACCTGAACAGAAATGGTCATTAAGCTAAACATGGCCATGCTGCTTCTAGGAATTAGTAAATGGATCCAAAGCAGGGAGATGAAAGAATTTGTTTACGGAAAAGTTCCAAAGGCTGCACCATAGCACTCACCCTGTTCCATATCATGTGCACATTCATCATGACTGGCACCAAGGAAAACCTTATGTTCAGTGTAATGTAATAAAAGAATCATGTACAGTAATACATGGTCGCAAGCATAATTCGTTCTGGAAACAAACTCCTTGTATTGCAAGACATCGCTCATTTACCACATTAAAATGTATTAGAAATGTTGGCTCGTCTTGCGGAACACTTGCAAACCACATTACTCGCAATCCAAGGTTTTACTGTATTGCCTTTTGGGAAAGAGTCCTTGTAAAAAAAACAAACAAAAAAAAAAACCCTAAAGCTTCAGAACTCCCTACTGAGCACATTTTTCTAATTAGGTGTTAATCTTCTGGGATGTTAATGTGTCCACCCTTGTGCAGAAGAAAGAAGTCAGCTAGATTATGTTGGTATAAATAGATAACACACTATGCATTACAGGAAGCTGAAGTCATCAAGTGGGTAGCAACAGCAGTAATCCTCCCAATTCGTGCTTTTAAAAAGAGAGTGTTGAGAGGTGAGAATGCATTCATTCAACCTATCCCACTATATGCCAAATAACAGGCTGCAGTCTTGAATAAGACATGATCTCATTAATGTAGCCCTGTCTTTGCTCTCTTCCAGATGCATAAGAAAACATGTATAAACTCATGAGGCAATTGAATTACCACACAAGTTGAGGAAAGAGGCCACCACTGTCACTTGTCAAAAGCAAGGAGAAATTCTTTTGACAGTCCATACTCTACAATTCCATAAAGAGCACTGGAGGAAATTTTTTATAAAAGTGTTCCTTGCTGGGCCCGGCCGAGTGGCTCAGTTGGTAAAGAGCGCGAGCTCCAAGCAACAGGGTCGCCAGTTCCATTCCCACATGGGCCAGTGAGCTGCGCCCAAGCTGAGCAGCCAACAGGTGGCAGGATGGCTCAACCAGTAGGACAACGTACTCCTAACAATAAGGTTGCCGGTTTGACTCCCACATGGGATGGTGAGCTAGGCCCACCCACACAACTAAGATTTAACACAGCACCTTGAGCTGAGCGGCCATGAGCTGCCGATGGGTAGCCGGATGGCGACTGGACTTGGAGCTGGGCTAGCTGCACCCTCCACAACTAAGATTGAAGGACAGCAACTTGGCTGTTCCCCTTCCCCAATTCCCCAATAAAATCTTTTTTTTAAAAAAAGTGTTCCTTGTAGGAAACAAAAACAGAAATGCATTTTTGCAACTTGGTCAAATTCTATCATCCAGAAAAAACAACATATTAGTAACTATTTTCATCTACTCCTTTTTTGTTGTTCATTTGATACATCACAACTTTGGGGAAAATACTCTCTTTGCTAGTTTAGTATCATGCATGCTGAATATATAAAATCCACCATATCATGAAACACTTCATAAATGTTTAATGGCTATATAAAGCTCTGTTGTATAAATGTACTATGTTAACAAACCCTGTTATAGACTACTGTTATAAATACTGCAGTGAATGTTTGCTTATTAAATTGTTCACATCTCATCATCCTAGCGTAAGTGTCTAGAATTGGAATTACTGGTACAAAGGGTATAATGCTTTTAATACTCATTTTGTTCTAGTTTATACTCATTCCCCACCCTGACCCCAGAGTAGGGAGTGCTTCTCTTGCCTCATTCTTGCCTTGACTGAGTATATTATCCCTTAATAGCTAAGAGGTGGTATCTTTCATCAGAGTAACTCTTAAACCATGGACAATCGGTTTTCAGAAAAAGTGGAGGTGTCAACATACTGAAATCTGCACAGGTCATCAGACACTTTGTTTGCTTACTTACTGCCCCCAATAACCCCTGTGACCTTAAAACTCTCTTCTGAGACCTGCCCTTTATTTTCCAGGGCCTTGACCTCCCAACATCTGATTTATCCCAGTCCCGTTCTCTGTTTCCTAAACCTAAAAATGTACCACTGTATCCTATAAGATGAACCTCACAAGAGCAGGGTACCCACACATAAAGCTACTAACAAAACTTGGTTCATGAATGGAAGAGGTCAGAATAGGGTTGGGGGAGCAAGGATTTACTGTAAAAAGATAGCTCTTCCAAAAAGGATGTACTGGGTCTTGGAATACTAAAGCCAAGATAAGGCATTTAAAATGAATCACCACTTAGAGTGATAAATATAATTATACCAAGAAAATGTAACTAGACCCCACAAGCAACCACTTGTTCAAGCACCAAATATCATCAAGAAGCTATGTAAATCCTTCTCAGCCCTCCCCCAGGATCATTTACTTTTTTAGACACACTACAGCATTGCTGATTGTATTAGTTTTCTGTCGCCACTGTGCAAATTACCACCAAGCTAATGTCTTACAACACATTTATTCTCTTACAGTTCTGCAAGCCAGAAATCCTGAGTTTTATGGAGCTAAAATCAAGGTGTTGGCAGGCTGGTTCCTTCTCCAGGTCCCAAGGGAGAAATCCTTCCTTGTCTTTTCCAGCTTCTGGTGGCTGTCTGCATTCCTTGGCTTGTGGCCGCATCACTCCAGCCTCTGCAGTTTTGGTCACATGGCCTTCTCCTCTTCTGTAGTCTAATCTCCTTCTGCCTCTCTAAGGACAATTGTGATTGTATTTGGGGCCTACCCAGATAATCCAGGATAATCTCACCACCTCAAAATTCTTAATTTGTCACATCTGCAAAGTCACTCTTGCCATATAAGATAACATTCACAGACTCCTGAGATTAGGACCTGATATCTTTGGAACCATTATTCAACCTGACACGCTGATCGTATGATGCACAGAAAAAGCAAATACTTCCATGGAAATCCAAGTGACTAGCATAAT